CCCAGGCAACTTGTTCAAGGTCACCCAAAGTAACCAAAGTAACCAAGTAAGCATGTATACATGAGGGAAAAAAATAATGGGTTTTAAACAATAACTTTTTTTCCTCCTACTAGCTACAGTGGTAGCTATTCACGGTGCAAATGTCCTGGGGCACAGAGACCTACCTCAAAGACAAATCAAAGGGCATGCCCCTCTCTGGCCCCAGTTCCAATATTTTTAGACAAGTAAAATCAGGTCTAAATAAATAAAAAGCTAAGGTAATGGGTTGGGCTAGAGAGGGCTTCTCTATCTTGCCAGGCCTTCCCAACTAGAAAATAAAGGGTGGGTAAATGGAACAACAAGAACAATTTTCTTGAGTAAAGCCAATGTATGAAAAGCTGAAGCTTCCTTTTTATGATTTTAATCAGGTGAACTACTCATTCTTCTTTTGTGAAAGCACTTAGCCCAGAGCTTGGCACATAACAGGGACTTAAAAATGCTTTTTTAATTTTCCCTGCTCTCCCAACCCAAGGGCATCCAGCTTTTTGCTGACAAAAACTCAGAGTCCAGACCATTTATGAAGCATAACATTCAGGAGAAACCCAGAGGTCAAGTGCAAACCAATAAATCATGAAAGAACTAGAATCAACTCCTAAATTCTCTGTATACCTTATGACCTACAAAATACAAAACTAGAAAGGAACTGGAATTATACTCTAAGGGTAAAAGGGAAAATTCTAAAAGGAAACTCAAGTCCTAAGAAACAAAAGAAAATGTGGGTGATTATGTAAGAATTAGAGACTAGAAATAATAAGAAGAACATAAATACTTTAGAGCTATAGTGCATCAAACTAATAATTTGTAAAGAGCAACCACATGACAAAAATACTCAAAGCTTTAAGCCTTCCTTGGTCTTGGAATGTCATGAGACTTTTTTGGCTAAAAGAAGGAATGCTTTAGTGAGAGAAGGAAAAAGAATTTCCAGACCTCTAGGTGGCTCCAAGTTTTAAACAACTACTCTGCTACCTTAACTAAATGTTCAAATGATACCTAGTTATTTATGCAAGTCACATCAACAATTGGACAGTACTGAACATCCTGAGAACTATAACTCTCATTTCTCTACTAGTTTTCTCTATCTTCCTTTGAAGTGTGGCACTGAGTGATCAACAGCTGCTGACTAATGTATTATCACATGACATGTGTAAAATAATATGACATAGTAAGATTTCTTTCAGTAATCCTGTGCTCATGAAAAAAAAGCATAATTACTTTAATGATGTACTTAGAAAAAGGATTATCTACAACAGAAAATCACAAGGGTAACACTAATTAAAAGGTATCTCAATTTATTACTCTGAATTTTCCACAGAGCCCCCATTTTTTTTTTTTTTGGCATTAATTTTGCCTAGTATCTGCAAATGCTGTTCCATATTATATATAACACCAGAAAGGAAGAAAAACAGGAGAGTGTCAGTCTGGCTTTTCTGTTATGAAAAGCAGATTAAACAGTGATAAAGAAGGCAATCAAGATACAAATACAAAGCTAATGTTATTATCTTATTCATTATAATAATAACCGTTTATTGAGCACCTACTAAATGCATCAGGCACTGAGTACCGACTAGTGAATAAACCAGGCATTATTTCTGCCCTGGAAGGCAAGGGATAAACATTAAGTAGTTAAATAATACACAATTATAAGTTATGACAAACATTAAAAAGGAAAGATGATTGTGCTATGAGGGAGAAAATAAAGGGATTCTAAGTTACATGATGAGAAGGTTGATAAGACATTTATAAAGAGGGTATCTGAATTTGTACCCAAGGATGACAAATTACTCAAGGAGATGGTCCTAAAATAGAGACCAATAGCATGAGGAAGAGCCCTGAGGTGAGTCTGCTGGAGAACTGGACAATGTGGCTGGCAAAGGATGAAGATGGGGGGGGGGGGGGGCAGTGGCCAAATCATGCAGGACCTTATAGGTATGTTGAAGATTTCATATTTTATCTGGAGAAATAAATGTGTTTCCTAAGAGCTTTGAAGACTTTAAACATCAAGTGACTTTTTTTTCTTCTTAGGCTGCTGGTGGGAAAAGGGACTGGAAGGGGTACAGCGTATATGCAGAAGGCAATGCAGAAAGATAATGGTGGCTTCAGGTAGAATGGAAGCATAGTAGAGGCCAAAAATCAAACAGATTTGAAAGAGATTTTTCCATAAAAGTAGATAAGGTGGGTGTGGGGGGGAGTTGGAAGGGGTGAAAGAACAGAAGAGAGAATGAAGGATAAATTCCAGCCTTCTGGCCTGAGCCACTTGTTGGATGGATGAGATGAAAAACAGAGGAGGAACTGTTTGAAAGCTTGGGTAATCAAGAGCTCAGTTCTGGAGAAGTGTGAGATAATGCCATTTATTAGCTACGATGTACAAAGCACTATATTATATATTCTACTTGTCACAGAATCCCTTTTTAGTAGCGGTATCCCCATTTTACAGAACGCAAACTGCAGATCATGACGTTGCAGTAGCATGACGAACTCATTCGGTTCAAAGTGACAAAGTCACATCTGCCATCCAAGTCTGGTTGGCTGGCTGTGGGGTAAGCATTCTTTCCACAATACACAGTTCTTACAAACTATTTCTACACTTTGCATTTTGAAATCTATTTAGGGTTGGAGCAAGCTAGCACCCAAGAAGAGTAAACAGGTGATACCTTATTTTTTAAATCCAAATTCTCAGATTTATGGTGCATAATGTTTTCCTTTACCACTCCCAACCCCACTCCACTTCTATCTGCAGAGTTTTGCAATGTTTCGAACTCTAGCAAGGTATCTAGGACCTTAATGTTTTACAATAAAGGAGCAAAGCCACGATGCCAGGAATGAACCATAATGAAAAAAGCAGCAATACCCAGCAGCAAACAATATTTTTACTCTCAAGCCATACATATATCAACATAAGATAGATCAACTGAGCAAGAAATTCTGAAAAACTATTTCTCAAAAATGGCGAAGGTGTTCGAGTCCAAAAGTAATGCAAGCCACCCAGTACAGAAGGCTACAAAAGCTAAGAATTGAGATTCCCATTAAAAAACCAAAACCTTAAAAGAACAGAATGTTAGGCAAAAAGAAATGATACCACAACTGTATAGAATTTAATATCTGCAATTCCCAAATATCTTAACCAAATGCCAAATTCAGTAAACATGCAAGCTAAAAACCTAAACATTCTCTCGTCTTTTTAAAAGCTTTTCCCTGCAGCACAATGACACTTTAGCAAACTGAAATGCCTTTCCTATCTGCAGAGTCTCATGATTTTCTCCCTCTCTGGGATGATGTCCCCCTCAGCTACTGAAGCCCAGAAATTAGGCTTGATTAATGAACCTAGAAAGAACTCAATGTATTACTAACAATTGTGTCTATTATTGAAAGTACCAGCTTGAGGCTCTTAAAAGAGGAGAAAATGAGGAAGGGGGAGATTTTTGAAAGGTTTTATCACCTACATTACAAATTACATTTTAGTGGGTCTGATCCTTCAACATAATAATCAAATTACATTCAGTCTTCTTAAAGTAAGGTATGGTCATATGCAATTTTCACGGTTTTTTGGGAGAGTTTGCCATGGAGATAAATAAAAAGTAGCATTAATATGTCCACTAAAAGATAAACACACAAACCACCCTCCAAAATGATAGTACTACTGTGTCCTTCCTCCTGATTCTTGTGTCCACCTGGCACCTCTTCCTGCAGAGAGGTCTAGCAGGCATTCACTACTGCCTTACCCAGGCAGAGGACGGGATTCCGAAAATCCATTAAGAAAGCTTCCCATTTTCTATTCCTTCATAACAGGATGGCCAACTCCTGGCAACCCAAAGATGAAAAACTAAAAAAAAAAAAAAAAAAAAAAAGTGGCGGGGACGGGGGGGGGGTAACTACCTAAGGCCTTCTACCAGAATAAGTGGTTAATCCATTCGGCAGAAAAGCAGAGATCTGTACATATTTAAAGGTCCTTTCTGGTGACACAACAGGTCTAATGAGGAATTGCTGAGCCTCATCATACTGGAAAATCCGTAAATGTTCCTCCTCGCCGTTACCAGGCTGGAAGAATTTTTTTTTAATGCAAGGTTTTGATGTACTGACACAGCTAACCTGATGGATTTAAGTCAGCTAGGAAATGTGCCCTCCATCTATTTCCCTTCTAAATCCCTAAAGATCAGAGGCAATACTGACCCGTAATTACATTCAACGCTTGCACTGCTCAAGATGCCATTTGATGCTGAAAAAGTAGTGGTTTAGCAACACCAGGCGGCTCTACGATGCCAAAGTAACAACGCAACACTCGATTACGAACCCAGGTACTCGGCTTGTAAGCTCCAGTGCCGCACAAGGACCCACGTTCAAAGCTCACGTCCCTTCAGGTTGAAGCTTATTAAGCTTGCCGCGAAGTACCCTCGCAAAGTTTCTAGTCTGCAAAACGGAATTACTTTGAAAGTCCCCTCTTTTGGACTCCCCTCCCCAGACGGGTTGGCGGCAAAGGGAAACAGGGACAGAGGATGATGGTTAAGCACTGAAACAAAATTTTAAAACCTAAAAAACAGTCGTGTTTTCAGAGGAGAGACGTTCACCAAACCGCCGCCACCCGGCAAGCGAGCATCCGATTTTCATTCGGAGAGAAAAATATTGAAGAAGCTATACATACGTTTCCCTGGCCAACAAAAGTGGCCTCTAAACTCCCCTGCCAAGGACATTGGGAGGAAACCGAGAAGCAGGGCACAAGCCTGTACTTCTCAAGCAGAGGCGCGTGTGTGCGGCGGGGAGAAGGCGCAAAGGCGAACCCAACAGGGAAAGGTGAACCGGAGGAACAGGGAGCCCGAGGCCGGAGAGCAGAACCCGCGAAGAAACCCAAGGTGTCGACAGAGGGGCGAGGGGGCGGGGAAGGGGGAGCCCGCAGGCTCCACGAGGAGGAGGGAGGGGTCCCAAACGTTGCCCAGAAATCGCGGCGGCCGAGGAAAGTTAATACTTACTCAGTTTCGCAACTGCGCCGCCCCCGCAGGCCGCCCGGCGAGGCCGGCCGGAGCGCTGGGGACGCGGCGGCGTCCGAAGCTCGGCGGCCGCCCAGCGCCTGTCCCGGCCGCGCCGCCCGTCGCGCCTGCCTCCGCCGCGCCCGGCGGGCCGCGCGCCCCGCACTGGCGGGAGGCCCTGGCTCCCGGCGCGCCCTCTCCGCGCCCCTCCCGGCCGGCGCTAAGGTGAGTGTGGACGCCCCTGGTGGGGCTGCGGCGGTGTGCTAGCGCGCGGGCCGCCTCTGCGCCGCCCGCAGGAGCCGCCCCCAGCGCCGCCGCTGGTCAAGCGAGGCTCGGCGAGGAGCGGGGCGGCAGGCGCCGTGCCGGACGGCGGAGTTGGCGGCCGGCTCGCTCCCGCGGCCGGTGCCTCTGGGCTGGGGGCCGGGCTCGGGCGGCCGGGCGGCTCCGCCCCTTCGCCGGGCCGCGGGCAGAGCGCGCGAGAGGAGCGGCGCGGGGGCGCCCCCCTCGGCCGGGCGCTCGGGTTACAGCCGCGGCTCCCCGGCTTCCCCGCCCGCGCCTCCCGGGTTCGCCGGCGCCGGGAGAGACATTGTAACGGAACTGGGACGCCAGCGCTGCATTGTGGGAGCTTTTAAAGCGGCGGGGAACGTGGCCCGGCCGCTCGGGCCCACCGGGCCAAGCTCACCCCGGCGCCCCTAGCACGGCCCCGCCGCCGCTCGTTCCACCACACGCCCCACACCGCCGAGGCCTGTGCACCGGAAAGCCCGAAGTGGTGAGGTGACCGGTGCCTACTGACTCTCACAGGAGCACAGTCTTCCATAGCCCGGGGTGAGACTTGTAAAACTGCCCTCTGCGGTCATCCCGGAAAGTAGGAGGCTTTTTCTGCAGACGCTTAAAGAAAAAGAAAAAGAAAGAAAAAAAAAAAAAGCCCTTCCATCCCCCAAGAACTGGGCTTGAATTGCTTTTCCTCTGGAGTGGCAGTGATTCAGCGACCCCGTTCTCAGCAGCAGGCAGTGACAGAGACAGGAGACGAAAAACACAGCGAATGAATCAGACGTGAGTAACCAAGTTTAGAAAGAGCTGGGCTCAGATTCAGAAAACTGCCTTCTCCCCCCCCCCCCCCCCCCAAATACAGCAAACGGTCGAGGAAGAAAACCAGTGCTTTCATCGGGAAATGCAGATATGTGTGTTGTTCTCCCTATTCCACCCCCCCTTTTTTTTAATTACTGTAGCCACTGGACAAAATTCGGTCTTTGGTCCAGGCTTGTGCTCACACATGCCCACAGCTCAGCAGCAGCTATTAATTTGGAGGGAGATGGAGTGAAGATAGTGGATGAGATACAAGAAAACATTCCAATTATAAAATGCCCCTTTTAATTCTCCACTGTTTTTTTTTAATCAAAACAGGGATATTAAATTTGCAGCAAACTTGTTACAGCTCATCTTACTGAGGGCCTGATTTGTTTTGTTTTGAGTTTGTGTTTGTAGGCCTTTTGTTTCTTCCTCTTGTTTTTTGACCTTTCTGGAATTACTGCACAGCTCATTAGTCCCTTTAAGTTCGCGGTGAACTGAGGAGAGACAGAGATAGTAAGACTCAAATTTGGCTGATAAAGGTTTGGAGGATTTGAGGACAAGAATGAGTTCTCTATGATTCAAATGCAAAACCTGGGGGAATTTTATTTAAGGTGATTCTGTAGGGCATGGATCCTCAGAGGACTTTTCCAGCTTTAATGTTAACATTTCCTGAGCGCTCATTCCCTTGTCAACCTTTCACTCCGCTGAACATCAGTCACCCGCCTAATTGCCAAATCTAATGGGAAAATTTAATCCCCATTTTGTCATCCCCTTTGTGGCATTTGCCAATTTTGACCTCCCCTTCCTTCTTAGAACTTTCCTCCCTTTTTGTTGTTGCTGTTGTTGATAGTCATCCCACTTTTGTGGAGGTCTTGAAACAGGGCTGAGTGATAGCTGGCAGGATTGTGGCTCTTGTTAAACTAGGATTCAGGATCTTACCCAAGGACGTATTCTTTAACTTTCTGAGGAGGTAGTGGCAGTAAAAGAACCTTCAGCTAGTTTCTGTTGGTCACCAGTAGGGTCTTGACCTCAATTTTATCATGCATCCAGAGCTGAACAGTGGACTGACTCATGACAACCAGCTTTTGTGTGACTAGCATTTAAATCAGGATGAAATTTACTGTGATAGTATAACCATGACCTCTGTTTAGGATAAGCACTTATGAGGATCCAGGTACCTGGTGAAGTATCCCCACCTTCAAACCAGAATGTGTCTTACTGATGGCTGCCAAAGTCAGTGAATTTACCTCTGTCCCGTCCTGAATAAATGCAGAAAAATCTCTTCTCTGCCTCAACCCCATGTGGTTAATGCATTCTTTCTTCAGTGTATAGTGCAATTTGTTTTAAGCTTTCTTGGCTGTAGTCACATCTGTTAAGCCGTCCTGAGATCACACCAAATGTCCTTGACAGGATTTGTAAACAACCCTTATTTCTGGTTTCTAATTATATTCCCAGAAGTAACCTAACTAGAATCCGTGAGTATTCATGCATTTCAAGCCCTGTGACATAATCGGATTTGATTTTCAAGAAAACAGTTGGAGAGGGTAGATTCAGAAAAGAGGAGAATCCCAAGAGAGAGACTTAACGTGGAGAGCTGTGGGAATGAGGGGGTAGGAGACACCACCTAGAGATATATTACTATACCATTGCTAGCTGTAAAAAAAAGTTACCACAAACTTGGTAGCTAAAACCAAGAATGTGTTATCTTACAGTTCTGGAGGTCAGAAATTCTAAAATCAAGGTGTGGGCTGTGTCCCATCTGGAGCCTCTAGGGGAGAATCCATTTCTTTTCTTTTTCTAGCTTCTATGCCACCTGCTTTCCTTGGCTTGTGGCCCCTTCCTCCATCTTTAAGGCCAATAGTATATCATCTTCAAATCTTTCTCTCTTCTTGGGATCTCTGCTTCAAGGTTGGGGGTGTCTTTTTCTGTAAGATAGGCAAAGAAAATAGGAATTGATATAGATACATTTCTAGCCATATTATGTTACAAACTGAACTGATTTGGATTACTTGTGGAAAGAGATGACAGTGTTTTAACCACTAGTCGAATCGTCGTAGGGTTAACTTACTTGACTGTAACATTGCTAAAGTGGTGTGGTTAGTCCAGCTAAACCTATATCCCTCTGGTGACTCATGGAACTGAAGCCCAAGGTGTTAACACACTAAGAAAATCAGGTTCACATCTGCGGTTTCTGGGGATCAGTCCCTTTCTCTGGAAATCCCCGGCAGCTCTTTTTTATGGTGTCCAGTGGAGTCATATTGCCAAGTTTGAGAAATATGCATCTAGACCAGCATTTCCCAAACTGGTCCACAAGGGAACATCATCCTATAAGATGGGATGCTGGGAAGACGGTTGCTCCATGCTTGGATAAGGTCCATGGAACACAGTTGTGACTACAGTTCAGGCCAGCCAAGAAGCTTATCAGTGGGTCAGATCCATCAAGGGCAAAGTGTTGGGAAATTTTTTCATGAGGAAGTCTAAGGGAGAAACAAACATTTTCTCACAACAGATAGGTATGTGTGCTGGCAGGGATAAATTATGGACTTACGACTAAAACTTGTAAGTTTCTTTATTACCTAGCCCTCCTAGCTTTCCTTCTTTTTCTCTACTTCTTTCCCCACTCTGTGCTTTACCCAGACTACTTACAGCTTCATTCCCTCTCAAACGGTGGCTCAGGACCACTTCTCATTCTCTTACCATGTAACCTTGAAATTGCCTGTTACTTTTAGAGCCACCCCCATCCTCCCCTAACCTTACCTCCACCTGCTTCGTAACGCCAGGGACTATGTTGTATTTATCACTGTATTCCCCATGCCTCATACAGGACCTGGCTCAGACTGGAAGCTCAATTAATATTAGTTGAAATAACAAACGAGTGAGTGACAATATAAATGGAACAAACTAATGTCACTTACTCACTTGTCATACTTGTCTTTGATCTTGTCTTTAATTAATAAACATTTTAAAAAAGCAATAAGCTATGGTATTGTGCTAGGTTCTGAGATTACAAAAATTAATATGACATTATCCTTCTATGAACTCATAGTTCATCTGAGGAAACATGCTAAAAAAGAAAATGAGGCAGGTAATACTAGTTGCATATCCCGTTTCCTTCCTTCTCTTCTCTCTTAGTAACAGAAATCTGATTTTGTGCCTAGCGAAAAGTCTCATTTCACAACCTTCCTTGCAGATGGGGGTTACTAAGTATAGGCCATGATATGTGGATGGGAGGTGTTGTATGGGACTCCTTATTTGTGTATGTGGTAGTGGGGGCTGGGGGTGCTAGCAGGGCTGACTCAAGACTATTATCGCCTGGAATATAGTTGTGATAGATGGAGTCACAGCCACAATCTTGTGACATCAAGACTACCTGGAAGCCTGAAGTCATATGCTAAAATTTGTACAGATGGGGTCATTTAGAGTTACTCAGCCTATCTTACCAAGCCTTCATTTAGTCACTGTTACTGATAAATTTGGAAGGAAAAGGGAAAAAGTCATCTCTTCTCTTCAGTAGACATGTGTGGAAAGCAAGTAAATATGGTATTCTTTCTCATTCTTAATGAATATCTTGTATGCATACTGAAACAAGATAAAGATCTATAAATACTGTGATTTATTTGACAAACAAAAAAGGGCTTTTTAGAAACAGAGCACAGTTCTCATATCTGTAGGAATTTTTAGTGTCATGATAGTTTCTTCTTAAAAAAAAAAAAAAGGGCGCCTGGGTGGCTCAGTTGGTTAAGCGACTGCCTTCGGCTCAGGTCATGATCCTGGAGTCCCGGGATCGAGTCCCGCATCGGGCTCCCTGCTCGGCAGGGAGCCTGCTTCTGCCTCTGACCCTCCCCCCTCTCATGTGCTCTCTCTCTCTCATTCTCTCTGTCTCAAATAAATAAATAAAATCTTAAAAAAAAAAAAAAAAAAAAAAAAGAATACCTACCAAGTCATAAACTACTCCTTTAAAAGACTCTCCAATAGTTTGGTGGGGTCGGAGGGTGATGTGTTTTGTTAAACAATAAAGTGCAGTATGGAATGAAAATACAGCATAAACTGTAAATGGGAACTGCAACAGGC